TTTCATCATTTTTTGACATTTTGAATTTATTTCCTACACTTTAAGACATGTAGAAAACTATGGTATCAACCATTTTTCCCCAAGTTGAAAACTATACCTTGAATGCTGCATTTGACACGTTTTTTTAATTAATTCCTCACTTTTTCACCTAATTGTTTGCATACATGTGTGTACCTTATTTTCTATGCTTTTTTGAAATTTTAAAGTTGTTTCCTACATTTAAAAGTGTTTAAAATTTAATGGTAACATTCAATTCCCATAAAACTCAACGGTTCATTCTGAATACTGTAATTAGTCATATTTTTCAATTGATTTTTAAGAGCTTAATTTTCATTATTTTTTGACATTTTAAATTTGTTTCCTACACTTTCAAACATGTATAAAATTATGGCAACAATGAATTTTCATCAAAATGAAAACTATATCTTGAATAATGCCTTTGACGTGTTTCCTGAATTAATTCTTACACGCTCAATTATCCTTATTTTTTGGAATTTCAAGCTCATTTCCTACACTTTTCAAGGTTTCAAAATTGATGGCTGTATCCATTTTGCATTCAATAAAATTTGTATATGGTACAAATTATGCAAGAAACAGGTTACGCTCATCTATTAAGATTGAAGCTTGTATTTTGAGTGAAATTGGACTTCACCATTCAATTCTAAACATTTGTAAATGTAGTAAATAAATTTAAAAAAAAAAAATGCTTAAAATCAGGCCGGTAAAAATCAATCAAAAAAACATTAAAAAAAGCCTGTCCACTGCAGTATTCAGTAACAAGCGCTGATTTTTATGTAAAATGGTTGTTACCATCATTTTATTATGTATTAAAGTGTGGGAAATAAACTTAAAATGTCAAAAAATAGTGAGAAATAACATGTAAAGAATTAATTGAAAAAAGTGTCTAGTTTCAGTATTAAAAATGAACCATTTAGTTTTATGGAAATTGAATGTTACCATTAAATTCTACACACTTTTGAATGTAGGAAACAAATTTAAAATTTCAAAAAAGCATAGAAAATAAGGTACACACATGTATGCAAACAATTAAGTGAAAAAGTGATGAATTAATTAAAAAAAACGTGTCAAATGCGGCATTCAAGGTATAGTTTTCATTTTGGGGAAAAATGGTTGTTACCATCATTTTCTACATGTCTTAAAGTGTGGGAAATAAATTTAAAATGTCAAAAAATGATGAGAATTAAGCTGTAAAAAATTAAGTGAAAAAATGGGTCTAATTTCAGTATTAAAAATGAACCGTTGAGTTTTAAAAAAATTGGATTGCACCATTAAATTCTACACACATTGAAACCTAGGAAATAATTTTAAAATTTCACAAAAGCATAAAAAATAAGGTACATACATGCATGCAAACAATTAATTGAATAATAAGTGGAAAAAAAAAATTAATAATCAAAATTCATTTTTATGGAAAATGGACTTTACCATTAAATTCTACACCTTTCATAGTGTAGGAATAAATTTTAAAATTTCGAAAAAACTCGAAAAATAAGCCGTAAAAAATTAATTAAAAAACCGCGTCTAAAAGCGGAAACCGCGTGTGCTGCGGCGCATCAAAACCGCGTCAAAACGCGGAAAAACCGCGTTTTTTTATTAAGGCCCATAATAAAAATTCATTTTTACAAAAAATGGTTCTTACCATTAAATTATAAACACTTTGAAACATAGGAAACAATTTTAAAAATTAAAAAAAAAACTCAAAAAATAAGCGGTAAAAAATTAAATAAAAAACTGTGTCAAAACACAGAATACGTGTCTGCTGCGCGGAGCAGAAACCGGGTACAAACGCGGAAAAAGCACATTTTTTTTATCAAGGCCCAAATACAAAAAAAATGAAAAAAGAAGTTGTAAAAAGGAACACATGGAAATATGGGATAGTTACGTATTTTAATTTCCCCAAGTACATATTCTTACAAGTAAGGTGTATTGTATTATTGGGGAAGTATGCTTATGCAAAAATACATTGTCACATACTCAAGGATAAATACAATACAATTCCGTGTAATTGCAAACTTGGAAAGTATGATACGTGGCCACTATGAGTATGTGTCTTGTATTGGTTGCACTGTTGCTTCCAATGGACAAGATACATGTACCTTGTCTATTGGTCATGCAGCCTTGCAATGGACGAGGTACATGTACAGTGGGTAGACAGTGAAAAGTGGCTGATTGTTTTGGATTCCAGAGCTCCAAAACACAGACTTGTACTCATGAGACTTGGTCAAGTGGTGCAGAATAGGTTGTAAGAAATGAATATGAAAAAATAAAACAAAAAACAAATTTGTAAAATTTGTGAAAAATAAAACTCAAATTTTTTTTTTTTCAAAACTTTGAAATTCATTTTGTGGGAGTGAGAGTGCTGAGAGGAAGGAAGATTGGGATATTATAAGAATGATTATGAATGAAAATTTTGGAGAAATTGTTTTCCAGATGGCTTCAAACAGCTGTTGATTGGGGCATTCACCCGCCCACATTGCAGTAAAGCACTAGAATTTACTGTTTTGGCTCCAATGTGGACAACCAACCTGGCTAAACCTTTTCTGGTTCCAATTTTTTTCATTTATAATCATTCTTCCCATGTTCCATTTTTTCTTTCTCTCAGCACTCCCACTCCCCAAAAATGAATATCAAAGCTTTTGAAAAAAATCTATTTTTATTTTTATTTTTCACAAATTTTGAAACTTGATTTTTTGTTTTTATTTTTTCATATTCATTTTCTGGGGCCTATTATGCACCACCGACCAAGTCTCATGACTTCTGTTTTGGAGCTCTGGAATCCAATAGAAGCAGCCACTTTTCAATGTCTACCCACTGTACCTTGTCCAGCTTGGAAGGCTCTCCTTCCGGTGGGTACAGTGTTTTGGGGCTGAGAGGGGTTCCTCCCAGCAGTGGTGGGCCTCTATGCTACGCTTTTGGTCCAAAAAAATGTAGTGTTAGCGCTTTTGTAGCGCATTTTTGCTACGCTATGCTGCGCTACAGCGCTTTTAGTGGTAAAAATGGCCAAAAACCGCTAGAAAGCGCTGCAGTGCAGCGTAGTGGACCCTTTTTTGCAGCCCACACGCGTAGCATTAGTGGTGTTGTGGCGGAATTCCGCTGTGCTACGCTTAGTGCTAATGGGAATGCTGCTGTGTTATGCTACACTAACCGCTACAGTTAGTGTAGCGGCCCACCGTTGCTCCCAGCCCCGGGTCTTTTCTTCTTCTTTTTTTTGAACAGCTTCAAGCCCTGGGCTATCCCATAGGACCCAAGCCTGGGTCCTATGGGATAGCCCAGGGAATAGGTACATATGTATATAAAAGTATACACATCTGAACTCCCACACTCCCCTCTCTGAAGGTAGTGTGAGCCCACAGACCAAAGCAGATTGGTGTGTGGGAGTGAGTGCGCAAAGGGGGAGGAAGTGTGATTATCACTCTCCGGGGCAGGGAGGTGTCATGGAATTGTTGAACACTTGCCCTATCCATGATGGACCAGGTCATACATGGCCACCGTGGTGAAATCAATAGAACCACCCCTGGAACAACCAGTTGTACAAACCACAGACAATCCATGTCTCATGGGGTTACCAGTGACGGTCCAGTGGAAGCACATGTGGGTCCTTTTTTGGGTGTCCTCCTAGTATTGCATCCCCATGGCACTGTTTTGGGTTTTGAATTCAACCTGGCGGCTACAGAAACACCATTATTTTGATTCACCTGGGGGTTTAGTGACCAATCATGGCCAGCTGGTGGTGGTAATGTCATACAGCATGGCGGGGCTCAGCAATAGGGGGGGGGGGGCCTTGAAATCCTCAATCCTAGGGGCAGTACCTTAGATTTCTCTGGGAAAATTAGAGATTTGGTACATTGGCACTGCACCCTGCACCACCACACAGGTGCATGGTGGGTGTGGGAAATACACAGCAGGTGGTACCAGTCACCGGCAACTGGTCCAAACATTTTTTAACCTCTCTGGAAGCATGGGATTCATGTCAACCATCTGTGTGCTTACATTGTGCGGTCATTGTAGTAATCTTGGAGCCCAAATCTCTTTCAGCAGGTGTACACATAACTGAAAGCACTACACGGATAGGAAGAAAATGTGCTTTGGGTTTCAATAACATAAGAAGTTGCAAAAAATAGCAAAGACTCTGTTAACAGTGACAGGAAGTAAAAACATGACAATTTCAGTGCTGTTATTATCACTTTCCATTTCCAGTGACATAAATTATCAGTTTTTCCTCTCCCTCTTTTTATGTATATATTTCTCTTTAACAAACCGTAGTCTTTGCAGCTATCTAAGCTAGAATATTTGAGTCTTGGCATAGCCAATAGCAGGGTTAACAATTAGGATCTTCTAAGTACACCACTCCCTGCAAAGAATCCATTTAAACCTTGCAACAATAGATGTTAATAAACACCTACATGTGGGTGGGCTTCTTGGATCAAACAAACACTTTGGCACCCTGTAGTGCTTTCTGAGTTGTTTGGCTTTGATTTTGATGTGGTTAACTTGAGCCTAGAATGTAACACTCAGCACATGTTATAACTTATGAGCAAGTTGAGCATGCATAAATTTCAATTGTGAGCCCCACTAATCCTGAGAATGTTAAGCAAATGGTTTGATCTCAAGGTTTTGGTACTATCATAGTCCGTGGCAACCAGCTTTAAAGTTGAAACTACTCTATTTGAAAATGCCTTGACTATAATAAAATATCATTCTTGGATTGTTCAGAGGAGCCTTGAAAAATTTTTCAATAAAAAAAGCAAGAGAAACACAGCAAGTTCTGTTTCCAAATCTAAACCAAAGCTTCTGAAAAAAGGTTTTCAAAAAAAAAAAAAACTATTGGCAATTGGGGTATGAATGAGTGATTGAGTGAGGAATACTTTTCCAAAGTCCCTAAAAGGTTAGTACCTTCCAAATACTATAAAAAAAGGATTCTTGGGGGTGCATGTGGTAGGATACATGCTTATTTAGCCTTTGGTTGAATCTTCAGGAGATCAAGGCAGGAGGGCTGGGAGTATTTTTACTTGTGATTCAGGGGGGTCTCCTGGTAATGGTACTTCCAATTCAGGGGGGTCTCCTGCAAGGTAACGAGTGACAGGGCGGTGGACTGAACACCCTCCCAGATTGAAGTGTGCGTAGCGCCCACATAGTGAACAGTAGTATTGCTTGAGTTTAACTTTCTGGTTGCATCTTTCATCCAAACTCAACTTTCTACAAGGGTACTCATCATCTTCCCAGGTGAGGATCATAGAATTTGGAAACGGACCCTCCCACAGGTGGCCAGACCTCTCAAAACATTCCCAGCATTGGCCAGTAAGTAGCAGGTCATCCGGTGAGTGTACAGGTGGAGGAGCAAGCACACCCAAGCACTTGGACAGCAGGGTGCATACTAGGGTCAACTTGACTATGATGGGTAGGCCTAGCATTGTAGAGCTGAGCTGATGGGGACTAGCAAGTTGCAGTTGTTGACCACAGGACTTGAACTCTGGGACTGATGGCTGTGAGTGATGAATTGTTTGAACACAGTGGGCTCTTGAAGTGGGGTGAAGATTTGACTACCAATACCACTATGCCAGCAAGGCGTACTTCAGGACAACCAATTTTCATATTTATGTGTTTATTTTCCCAATGCTCAATTCAAATGGCAGGCATCCTGATAAATGACATTATTCCATTAAACATGTCTCTACCTCTTGACAACTACCTGATTGGTTGACATCTTTGAACATTTCATGACTGGGTGATGAGCTATATGCACACCTTTCAAAAGATTATTTGTTGGCACTGAATGGTCATCTTTTGCCATAGTACCACAGCATGATTATGATTTTTTTGGAGGATTGAAATTTAAAAATTAGTTCATATTAGGGGATTAATAAACGTACCCCCCTTTTCTGCTATCCACACCCGGTTTTTCACACCTGGTTTTCTGCTTCTACACCCGGTTTTTCCCAGCCTTTTTAATTCATTTTTTGGGGATTCCAAATATACTAAAAATCATCTAAAACCCAGCATTCTTTTTGGGCATGTTAAATATTACCAAAAGAGCATTTCATTTTTTTTTCGTTTTTCTCACCCATTTTTTCCCAGTTGTTTTCTCCCTCTGAATTTTTGAAAACTTGAATTATAGCTAAAAATTATTATTAATTGTCAATTTTTCAGTTTTTCTTCTCCATATAGATGGTACCATTCAAGATATTCCTTATTTTGTCCATTTGCATATTACTCAAAACCAATAACATTGGGATTTCCAAAATGAAATCAAATTTTGTTCTTTATAAATTTCCCAAAGATTTGGCAATATCAATGATAAATCTAAATGTACTTTGGAGTTTCAAAAATTCATAGGCAGAAGGTTATATTTGATACCCCCTAATAAGTTAAAATTAAAATTTCTCTTTTGAGTATTTTTTACATACCCAAAAAGAATGTTTAATTTTAGAAGATTTTTAGCATATTTAGAATTTCCAAAAAATGAATTGCAAAGGCTGGGAAAAACCAGGTGTAGAAGCAGAAAACCAGGTGTGAAAAACCGGGTGTGGATAGCAGAAAAGGGGGGTACGTTTATTAATCCCCTCATATTATTATGATTTTTGTATATTATCACATAAATTGATTTTTTTTCCCATTCAAAAGAAGAAAAACAGAATTAAAAGGAAGAATGAGATTGTTCAAGACCAGATTAGGAATTAAAGAAGGAAGAAGAAGAAGAAAAGATTAATTAAAAAACATTAGGGGGGTTGTTTGTTTGAGCAAGAGAGAGAGATAAGAAAACCAGAAATGAAGAGAGAAAGAGGTACAGGTGCATGGCAGGTGTGGGCAATACCCAACAGGTGGTGCCAGCTACCTTGCAATGGATCCAAACAAATTTTCTTCAACCTCTCTGGAAGCAAAGGATGTGTGTCAACCATCCATGTGTATACATTTTGGGGTCACTGTAGTAACCTCATAACCCAACTGTCTTGCAGAAGATTTGCACATAAATGAAAGCACTACATGGAAAGGAAGTAAATGTGCTTTGGGTTTCAATAACATAAGAAGTGCAA